GTATTTCTTTTTTCCTGAAAAAGGTATTAGCAATTTTCAACTTATTGAAGGCTGCAAACTGTCTAAGATCTTCTCCATTTTTAAGTGCTGATCTCCAAATATCCTGCCAACTCCCGGAATCGGAATGTTACCAACCCTGGGGTTTAGGTCGCCACAGACGAGAACATGATTATTTTTATTTATTTGTTTTTGAAGATCGTCATAAAATGTCCGTGTGTTCTCTTTCCTTCCTTCTTCTGGGGCATACACGCCTATAAGTATTAAGTGGCCCCTCTCTATTTTGAATTTGCATGTGGCAATTCGCTCATTTGTAAGGGAGTACTCCATTATCCTATTTTTCCCCCTATTGTTAACCATAATTGCTACCCCACTACTTGCCCGTCTATTTTGAATTTCTCCACAGTAGGTCATCGTATAATGTTTCATATCTTTTGTATCTTTCAGCTTTTTTTTTGGTTTCCATTATGACAGCTAGATCTATTCCTTTTTCTTTGGTTTCCTTTAGTTTGTTATCTAGTTCTTCTTCTGTATTACCCTCTGACATTCCAGGTAGCTAGTTTTAGTCGTCCTGTAATACTGAATTGTTTATCCTTGGCATGCTTAAGTCGTTTCCATGAACCATCCAGTTGTGCATTGTGAAGAGAGCCAGTAGTTATTGAATCCCCTGGCCGCGTTACGAGCGCTGCGCAGATTAAGTTTGGTAGTGGGGCTGCTACCTCACAGCTTCCAAACAAGCTGGGTGGTATTTTGGGCCACCAACCCTAGGCGGATTGCCTTTGCTGAGCTAAGAGTTCCGCCTACCCTTTCGGGGACAGTTTCGCCATGTCGAAGCCGAAGGTCTAGGTTCGAACTTCCTCTTCTTCATTCAGGTCCTGTTCTTTGGGGCCTCTTTTAACGCCTGTGTCCTCTTCTAGAGTACTTCTTCGTCTGACCCCTTCCCTTTGACCTTTTTATTGCAGAGCCATTACAAATATAATGTGAAAATGTATGTGTTGTAGTAACACCACTGATTTCTACTCATGTTAGTATGAGGCTACAAAATAATTGCAATAAATAACATTTAAATTACTAACTCTTTTTATTCAATGATTTTACTTCTGAATTGAACAAAGTACTTCTAAAGAATGCATGTTATATTTAATAACCATTTTTTATTTTCTTAAATATTCCCTTAAAAATTAGCATCCAAACCAAACGAATGGATGCTTGAAATGTGCTGTTACAATGAAAAAGCATGTACAATTCTATAATATCTTATGTTAAGGACTTCCTATTGTTTTCCAACATCCAATTGATATGAGAAATTATTCACTCTCATTCATTAACTCCAACAAACAGTATTTCGCGGATACTACTGCTCTCGGCCTGCAATGTATTTCTTCATATATTACCTCATCTAGAAGAACTCCATTTTGTCTTTCATCTTTCAATATTCAGGATTACTTTGAATTTTTGAGAGCTTTGATGAAGAAACATCACCTTCAGTTCCTGGTTTTCCCTTCCATGAAACAACTTAAATGATACATCATCACACATTCTAATTTTTGGGGGGGAAATTGTCAAAGTCAGTGCTTGGTGTACTAGAAAATAAATCTTAGAAAAACAAAATGGAAGAAAAAATTGTCAGAATAAAGGAAAAAGAAAAGAATTGTTTCATCTTTTCTTTTCTATAGCTCAAAAATGTAGAATAACCATTTTTACAGCAGGATCATTACTCTTATTATTTCAATTACTGCACTGACCTCTTATGTTCATGTTCTAATCATGAAATGAAAACAAAGAAAGAAAAGAGGGCAAACATTCTCTTTAAAAATTCATAAAATCTGTGTTATAAACATGAATTATTTCTTAATTTCAGAATTCAATTATGTTTTAAATTTCTTTCTGAGGCTCATCAAAAATTTTAGGACTGAAATTGCTTGGGTTTACATCTGTAATGAAATATTAATTTATTTATTATTAAACGACACTGACAACAGCCCATGAAAGAGAAGTTTGTACATATCCTCTTTATTAAAATGGTTTGTACAGGATATTTTTTTCTAGATGCATGTATCTTGTATTAACCACAAACTTTTCATACAAAACACCTGAATAAAAAATTAAAAACTTGTATGCTACTCAACAACAAATGTTCTTTTGGTTATATGATAGATCTGTAAGTAAAAATATTCGAAGACCGTTACTGATTCAATAAACCTCTTAATGACTCCAGAAAAATGGTATCACAATGAACATTAAAACAATGATATAACTTCTTTCAAATACAAATAAATTAAAACCTAAATACTGACAGCAGCTGGTAAGTTAATTGTTGTCTATAATTATTTATGAATTTCCTCTTTGTTTTCTCTCCATCCATAATTTCACATTAAAAAGGATCTCTTTTTTAACATCTCAAAATCTTCCTTTTTTTTTTTTTTTTTTTTTTTTTTTTTTTTTTTTTTTTTTTTTTTTTTTTTTTTTTTTGTTTTATACTTTATGGAGAATTCAATTTTTTCAATTTTTATTATAAGTTATTTGGGAGAGTAACATTAAATGCTTTATTTCTGAAGTAAAAAGAATTTCTTTCACAAAAGTTTCTTGTAACACCAGGTACAGCAGGGATGTCCAACTTACAATGCCTCAAGGGCCACAACTAAAACCGTAAATATTGTTAAAAGCCATATTTTCATTACTCAGGTGATTAACAGACTTACCCTATTGTTGATCTTGGCAGATTGCCTGGGTGCTTTTAACCGGGGTAGGGGGTGAGAATGGAACTGTATGTGATATCAGGTCTAACCATGCATAACATAGTCACGCACATTAGGATAATTTTCAATTCTTGAATTTACTAGAAAAATCTTTAAATCTAAACTTAACCTATTTTTAAATTAAGGGAGTGTTGACCTCACGAGTTTGACTGGTTGCTCTGAAATGGGGGGAGGGGGGGATGGAACCATGCTGTACCATGCATAACACAGTGTAAAACATTGGGATGATTTTGAAATTCCGTATTTCCCTGAAAAAAAATTCTTAAATCTAAACTTAACCTATTTTTACATTAAGGGAGCACTGACCTCGGCAGTTCGCCTGGCTGCTCTGAAACGAGAGGAAGGGGAATGGAACCATGTGGATATCAGGACGTACCATGTATAACGCAGTGAAAACATTACGCGTGCGGCGATGGTGTAACGGTTAGCGTACCGGACTGTTGTACCGAAGTTGGCGCGTGGATTTTTAAGGGCGAAAAAATCCTTCAGCGGGAAGTAAAGCCGGCTGTCCAATGTTAGTAGATTTGTTTGCAAGTAAAAGATCCTCAAGCCTAAATGACGCCTCTGAGCTAAATTCAAATCGCGTGTTTCTCGCCCAAGAAATACCTTCTTTCTCTACAACTTGGTGACAGGAGCGTAGAGAAATTTGCGTGGTCAGACTGAAGAGCAGCCTCATGGCCTGAGTCTCGCCACGTAAAATAAGGCATTAATTCAATTCAATTCAAAACATTGGGATGATTTTGAAAATCTGAATTTGCTAGAAAAAAATCTTAAATCTAAACTTGAATCTATTTTCATATTAAGGGGGAGTAGATTCCGACAGGACGCGTGCGCTAGGCGCACAAAGTTCTCGCCTGACATGTATACAAGAGATTTTCATTTTTGGCTAATAACCTTTCGCGGGCAGCAATAAATGTCATCATGTTCGTTCAACATCAAGGCCGCCAGTTAGACAACCCTGAGCAACACTCTACAGTCCTTTAGACAAAACAAATCTGTGCATTCATGCCTAAAAATTATGTTACACTAAAAATTTATTACTGATAATCCACAAGAAAGCTCATCAAAAATGTAAGAAATAATTGAAAAATGTAGGTACCTTTCTAGAGAATAAAACAAGGTCCCAGATATCTCAATTTCAAGATCCCTAGACCCAGACATCATTAAATTGCATAAAAATTGCATGCGTTTTCCAGATGTTCATGTGTATTGGCTATCATCGGGAGTGAATTCTGGACAATGATTTCAAGAAGGGAGGAGAAGAAGGGATACAGAATAAAAGGCGGTTGGAAATACAGGAAGAATATATTTCAATTTGTTTTAAAGAAGCTGTATATACTAGGTGACAAAGAGATACAAAACGAAAAAATAAATTTAAAATCAACTGAAGATTTAATTGTTAAGTCATAGATCAATGGACTGGGGACGATTCTTCCTAGTCTCTCCCCTTCCCTATGTTGCGTCCGGGAAGACTCCGTCTTTGCAACGCCAAGTTCACTGTCCTCACCCGAACTGCAAGAGATGCGCCCGCCCAGCATCTCACAGCCGCGCTGCATGGCGAAGGACATCCAGTAGCACACCTGGAAGCGGTGCAGCCCCAGCAGCAGGTGCAGGCGGCGGTAGTGGCGGCTGAGCTGCGGCTTGCGCGGGCGCACGTTGCCGAAGACGGCGCCGCGCCGCGTCGGACGCGTCACGCCCGACAGGATCAGCTTCAGGTTCTCAAACCACCTGCGCAACGGCATGGCGGACTAAGCGCGGATGGAGCAGTGAACACGGAAGAAAAAAGATAAAGGGCGGAGAAGGTAATGGGTAGGGAAGAAAGGAAAAAAACCTCATGAATTATCTGAAAACAAAAATTAGGACATGGAAGTGAAATGCAGAAATATTTACAGAGGGATTGTGAGGAATGCAACAGTCATAGTTCCGGATGTACTTGATAAGCAATGACTGGACCACTTAACAATTGATGATAGGAAATAAAGAAAATTGGAGAAGTAGTAAATGAGATTGACAATGAAATGATGTAATATCAGAGGGAAATGTACCTTGCGGAAGCCGTCACTAAATACGTTTTGGCCATCACAAATTCCATGGGAAAGCGAGCGCGATGGACGCTTCCCCATCGATCGATTGCAAGACAAAGATGAAGAGAAAGAAAGAAAGAAAGAGAAAGAATATGTGTGTGTATAAAGATAGCGATAGTAAAAAAAGCTGAGACACGAGAAGACGAAAACAGTGGAAATAACCAGGCGAAAGAGGCGCCTGGTTAAACTTGCCTCAGGGTGCTGCCGTAGAGCAGAACGACGGGGCAGTCCACGTCGGCGGCCGGAGCGGCGTTGGAGCTGCGAGCCAGAGGCTTCGTCTCGAGCGCCACGCTCAGGTTGAGGTTCTGCGAGCGGAACGCGCGGAAAGAGTCGTGCTCCTGGTTGGATGAGTACTCGGGCAGCTTGTCGGGCGCGCACGGGAACACTGAGTGGTGGTCGTTGGGGTCGCCCAGGCACACCCACTGCAGCTTCAGCGTGAGGCGTAGGTTGGGCAGGTGCAGCAGGCGACAGTCGTCGTACTTCGACGCCGTGCGCACGTACACGTTCAGCTCACCCTTGAACACTACCTTCGCTGCGAAAAAAAACAACCCTAACAGGCTCTCGCATGCGTCTCTCGATACACATTACAATTGAATACAGTATTCAAGTATTTTCAAATCGCCTAAAATAACTGAAAGAAATCACTTCAAGTGAAAAGATTCGGCTAAAACTCGGAAAACGACGCTGAAGTCATTGTATAAGAGAGGACAGACAACCTGACAAGTCTCGAACAGACTCCTGTACAGAAAAATATTACTTATACAAAATCTTAAGCCAAAAATATCTTCCTGGTGAACAGTATAAAAATGCTCACGAGAAAACAGGGAAATGGTAGTCCTTTAGCGATCAAAATAAATACAATGACATTTCTTTTTCTATAAATTTAAGTCCAAACAAAGACATTTTGAATTTTTTCTTCACGGATCATGACAAATCAGCCTATAATAGCATATAGCGTGCCATTACTGCTGACTCATCCTGCGGAATAAAATACTTCTGGAGAGCACGTAAAACAGTCCTCAATAAGAACAAATGTGCCTGAAGAACAAATATTTTTGGATATTGAATTGGAAGTAGCACATTACACCATAAACAATGGCACCCTGAGCGGACGGGCAGGTTCAATGCCTGAAAAGGAGTCACGAGAAGAACGCGATGTGAGCGATTAGTTCTCGCTCCCGTGGTGCTTACCGCTGGTCCAGTCCATGGCGACGTCTCGCCACGTGAGTTCCATCTCTTCGGTGGTGTTGTAGGGGTCGAGCGACGCGTGCAGTAGCACCGTCATCTGGCGCACGCACATAGTAAGGCGGCCGTGCAGCAGCAACCGCATCTTGTCCCAGAAGGGCAGCGGCACACTGGGGTCGCGCGACGGCATCACGATCTTCTCGAAACCTACACGAACACCAAATGCAAGAGGGGCGTGACAAATCACATGCGCTCGACGAATTGGAAAATGCAGAACGAAACAGGTTACTGCGAAATTGTTAGGAAACCATATTTCGCTCCAAAAGTTGATAGTTAAACGTAAAGTCGACGTAAACGGCTAAAATAATATTTAACAAATCAAATGTGTTTTGCATAACAAATTAATTTAGGAATTGTTTCGGAGTTTCTTTGGGAAGACCATTTGCATAATAATTTTCAATCCATTACAGACCCAATAAAAATAATTGTAACGTGCTTATAAATTAATTAGACGTTTAAATTTATTTTAAAAGTTTAAAATGTAAGAAATTGATAAATTTATTAATAACGATATTTTCAATTGATATGGACACTTAATCTTTCACTTTACTGTTCCACCATAAGGGGAAGACTCCTTTATCATCTTCTTCGAATTGTTGTACTTTGTTTAATATATGGAATGAGGATTGGGTAAAGCCAGATTACAATTATTTCTGTGCGTTTTTTACATAAATTGTAGGCGGGTAAATGATATGGGATCGTTAGCGTACTTCGAATTGGGGGGCAATAGGAACGGGCACGTACGTCAGATTGCTCGTGCCTGGTAGACGAGAGACTCCACTATACTACTGAAATTACATATTAAGTAATTAAACAAATAAAAATTGATAAAGTCGTAACATATACATATTTAGAATAATGGAAACGCCTCTTATGGTACGTGTTTCTGGGGAGATGGCTACTCACTAAGGTTGCACTGCGCGATGACAGGTTCCCAGCAGGGGCCGAAGGCGTAGCTGTAGAGGTCGACATCGCAGTTAAGGTCGTGGTAGAACTTGAGCGACGTCATGGTGCGCTCCACAGCCGCGTCACCCCACGGCTCCCCGAGATGCAACACCACGGTGCGCCGGGCTGCAACGTATGCACCATCACCACCTGCCCAAGCGCTCGAATGGGCGCATTTTCACTCCCAGAGTATCCAGTTACAATCCGGTTGAGGTGGCTTAGGGCATCAACAAACGTCAATGCAGTGCCTCTGACTGTGAGGTCCAAGGGTTCGAATCCCGACGGTGGCAGGATTTTCGACACTAGCTTGTTAGTCGCTGTAGCTATACTAGCTACTACCAGCCGACTTCTGCCGATGTCTGGAGGAATATTTTAGCGAGCGGCTGATCTATTCGCTAGGTGGGTTCCGTGGTTTCTCCCATCAATAGCAGGTGCATGACGGAGCAGCACCCTAACAAACAGGTCATGTACCGCGCGAGGTCTTTCCTGTTCCTGTTCTCAACTCTTACTTAAACACACTTACACTTTCACCACTACACAACCACTCATTTTGGGAGACCTGTAGGGAGTTTAGAGTTGGTCCCGGCTGGGGCGTTGCCTCGCTGGTTGGAGGTACCTGATTGGGGAAAACCACGCAAGCCGACGTGCGTTCGTCTCTGGATCTCGCGATCCAGTGGGGGAAGAAAACCGCCATCTCCCGTGATATAATATGCACTACACTTACGGGTCTAAATACCATAACAGTTGACGCGAGAGGAATCACAAAATAATCAATTCAGCTACAAAGTCGAACTTCTAGCCGTTTCAATAGCTGTAGATGTACCGTGTAAAACGTCCCTGAGGGTGAGGTTCGACTCACGATACGTTTGGAAAAAGACAATATCATCAAGTGCCCCCAACATGGCTTTTTGGGGCTCTGCAACAGCCAACATGCTATGTGACTGGCTCCCAATGCACACGCCATTCGTGTTAGCACATGCATTAGCATTAATTGCCACTGACAACGACTATGTAGCGACACATAGTGCACTGAACGACGGAAGTAATGATGGCCTGCGGCAGCTGATCGATATGATGTGTGTACAATTGTAAATAAATTTTTTTAGTACGTGTGGAAATGACTTTCTTTTCATCGTTGTATTTCCTACAGGAGTGAAACTATAGGTGCAAACTAACGTGATGACATTTTAACGGTCATCACAGAATCGCTTGCTTCTAGGCCCACAAGAAGAATTCCATTTGCATTTTGCATAAACGGTACTACTGCTTAAAATGATGCCTGAGTGCGCATGGGTGAGTGTGTGAGAGAGAGAGAACTGATCTCTGGAGCTGGAGATCTCTGGTCTACTACAGAGGTTATTAGCCACTTAGATGTTGTGCATGTTATATCCCGGGAGGAGGCGTTGCGGAATCACCACCCGTGCCGACAAGCTCTAAATTTCGGACTGGCCTCTCTACACTTGTAGAGCATGTAAATGTAGTAAGTGGGGTTAAGGGGAGAGGAAGGGGCATGGCTGAGGAAGATAACATCAAAGGCTGTTTGTGGCCCGTTTCTTGGGGTACTGGACCGACATTCCCGATTGGCAAAATATCACCTAGAACCGGATTGGAGATATCACGAATGGTATACCTCTGTTATATAGAAAACCGCTGAATAATGTATGTTTTTCATTTTTACGTACACTAAGTTTTTACATTATTAAGCTTTTGTAGTGTAGACGTCCACAATAACGAACTCAATTGGACTGGACAAATTCCAGGAGAGCCAGGGGTATCAGGGGCATTAGGCAACCCACTGAGTCGACACACATCACTGCCTAGCGGATTGCCTACACAGATTGCCTATTGCCCCGTCATAAGTTTATTAGAGGCATCACGAAAATTACAGAATGCTGCCCACCCAAAAACACAATCATAACAACAATCTATCAAGTCCATTAGAAATTGCCACCAGGTAGTGTTTGAATCCCATCCTGCTATTCAGCTAGTATCGGAAATCCAACAAAGTAGGGACTAGAACACAAGAACCTTCCTGTCAACGACGCCACAGGCCGAAGATATCGCTGAATTATCGCAGCGATATTTTAGCAAAATTTCTAATACTTTCAGCAACTAGATTACAGGGTTTGCGACGCTGGAGGCGGTAACTTTTAAGTGGGCAGCTTAAAAGTAGATAGCTTGAAAGCAGTGCGAGAGAAGGAGTGTGAGTGAGTGAGTGTGGGACTGAGACGTAGTGAGAGTGAAAGGGAGTGTTCGAGTGAGAGGGAGGGTGGGGTGAGGAGTGTGAGAATGAGAGCGAGAGAGAGTGCTTTAGTGAGTGTGTCAGAGTGTGAGCGTGAGGTCGAGAGAGAATATGCGTGAATGTGTAAGAGAGAGAGAGTGGCAGAGAGAAGAAACGGAGAGTGAGAGAGGGGAGATGGAAACGCGGCGTACCTCGCGGCGGTGCCTCCTGCTCCGCCCCGGCCAAGCGACCCCAAAGGCGCAGACCGCGGATGTGCAGCAGTGGCTGCGGGAAGTCGCGCAGCTGGAAGGTCCACTCGGCGCATGCAGCGCTGACGGCGCGGCACCACAGCGTGGAGAAGCGCAGCCCGCCCTCGGGTGCCGGCGCGTCGGGGTCCATGGCGGCGGCGGCCGCTGCGGCCGCGGCGCGCGTGCTCACCGCCGGGTCAGCCAGCGACACGATCTCCACGGCGCTCATCTGCCACGCGAACAGCCGCGTGCGCGGTGGTGCCGACCGCGCCATCTGCTGCGACCGCTGCACGTAAATCTGTGCGTTCTTCTTGCTCAGGCTGGCGTACAGCTCTTCCACCTGCAAGTGCATAGTTCGAATTCGCCACACGATTCAATGAGGACTCGAGTGTCCAATAAAAACAAAATTAATATTGCTATTAAATAAATTTCACTTGTAATTCCCCACCAAAACATGAGAGAACACCAAGAAAAAGAAGATAGCAAGGTTCTTACACGTAGAACGGTTGAAAAGAGTTGGATAAAAGAGAAGAGAACGGTTGAATAGGCATTTTATTAATCATCTGTCAAACATTTACAATTTCCTCTCAATCTTCTCACTTTACCTTGGATCAGAAGTTCAGATTTTTAAGAATTAATGTGTGAAGGAAATAGACGGTTTAGACATAACAAATCAAAGTACATAGAAGATTGAGTTAATTCACATGAGCATTTCCAGAATGATTTTCTGTTTTTAATGTCTGCCAGGTGATCTATGAAAGAAGAGCTATATTTGCACTTTTCCGAGGTATACCTGAAATTGATAGAACGGTACTTCATCGTCAGTGCCTGGATCTTGTACACATGAAAATTGTAACAATTAGCATCATCTCTTAAACGACCTAGCACTGAACTCTTATCAGATAAAACTATGAAGATAAAAATTATGTTCCTCAATATCAAAGTTTGTAAGTTATTTGACAAATTTTACAACAGAGTGGTTTCGTTCTCAACAACACCCATGATTTTGTTCTCTGCGCGAGCACGGAGGGAGGGAGGGAGCGAATGACTGGTTACCTTCCCGGAGGGGAGCAGCAGGTGCTGCTTGCACAGTTCGGCCACCTTGGCGTCGAGCATCTTCTGTCGGCGCGCGCTCTCGCGGCACTCGTCCTCCAGTAGCTCCAGGTTGTCGCGAAGCCGCACCTCGAACGGGTCGTCGCTCATCTCGAAGAGGAACTCGCGGATCTGCGCACAAAGGAGGGGATAACATGGGGGGGGGGGGGACTTTCCTCACAGAGCAGCTCTTCCAACGTGAATTGAAGACCCCTTAAAACCTTTTGTTTGATACATGATAGATGGAGGGGTCCAAAGTGATTATTTTTTAATTTTATACATTTGATTTTTTTAGTTGTCAGGTGGTCTAGTTCAAATTTGAGTTGGGTGGCTCTACAGCCATACCACGGTTCATCTCATATGTTTGTTGAAAATATTTTCATTTTCAATTCAATTTTAGGAATTTTAAGTGCAGCGAAATATTATTTTGGGGAAAGAGTATGTTTTTTGTTCTTGTTGATAAATAACGATTTTATATTCCATGTTCTCAATATAAAATAATAATCTCTTTAAATACCGTCAAAATCCACAAAATTGAAGCAAAATAATTGTCTCAGGTTACTGTAAAGTCAATAACATATATGAGATATGAATTAAGAAATATAATAAACAAACGAAGAAAATCATAAAAATTGACCGCATTTTTCATTTGTTGAGAGGTAGGCAAGTTTCAAGCTGATAAATAACCAATGATAAATTGACAAAATCGGGAACACTAACAAGTAAATTTACACATTTCAATATAGAATCAACTACATATAAAACCACAACAGAAGGGAGGAGTACGTAGATGTGGGGACAATCTGTGAACGAGCAGGGGAGGGCCAGAGAATGGACGGGTTAAGAGCGCATGACTAAAGCGACAGAACGAGGTGGGAGAGGGAGGCCTGGCCACGCACCTTGATGACGAGATCTGGCGGCAGATGCTCCTCGCGTGGCGCCGCCGTGGGCGGGCGGCGGTGCGTGAGACGCAGCCAGCGCACGATGGACATGAGCTCGTCCTGGAACACCTCGGCGAAGCGGTGCTGGTACGGGAACACCGCCTTGAACGAGCCCAGCGTCACCGCCCTACGCACATACGCAACAACCACTTCATCTCCGAATAAGGCCTCTCTCTCACAAGTGTTTCTTAAACCTTAAAGACTCTGCCAGTCACTGAGTAGCAGGCTTAAAAAGCTACTCAAGAACATTTCCTGTATCGCAGGCACACGATGATGTGCGTTTCATGACTTCCAAGATCATGAAATGGTAACTTGCATTTTCAAGGATAAATGCGCGAAAACGGTTTTATTTGTTGGAATTTTTAAGAGTACTACTAATATTTGCATATTGAATCACAATAACGACGCAAGTACCAAATACTAAAGCACAGTATGTCAACCCCAGATGCAAATATATTTGCCTCGTCCCCAATCGAATTGGAATAGATTCACGAAATATAGGAAACTAATGTTTGATGACCTCTCGCTACCCAATTGATGCGAGAGACATGAAACCATTGCCATTACTTTGTTAAAACCGTTTTCAGATTAAAAGAAAAAAGCTAGGTTTAAGGCGTGAAAACAACGTATCCACAGGTAGACAACTTTACTTAATACAATATCTGCTCCCACTTATCGTCCCCATAGAAATCGTTATCTATCTCTCCCTCTCATCAGGCTAGAGCCCAACGTCAGCTGATTGTGCTAACCATATGTTCACAACCACGTCTCCTCTTGGGATGTAAAGTAGAAATTCTGAAAACCGGGAAGACGCTCGCCCCGGGCGCTCTATTATTTTAGAGCAAACTTCATCGATATTTTGCCGCCAGTGCGTTGCAAACGCAATTAAGCTATCGCGAGGGTGCTGCGTGTCTCTCTTTCTGCGATGCACGTGTTTCATTTCGCCAAGGCAACTGACCAGCAGCGCTCGTTCCAGGCGAGCGTGAAGCCCTCGGCGTTGCGGCGCTCGAGGCGCACCTCGGCCGAGTCGCGTAGGCGGCGCACGTCGAGCTGCGAGGCGCGGAAGAGCTCCGCACCGTCCACGGCCAGCGCCAGTGCGGGACTCGTCAACACCCACTCGTCCGGCCCCGTCGACAGCACCACCTGCGCACGCGCAACATACTTTGCGATGCAAACTGTCTTGCCAATTAATTTCTGTTATACGTAAAACACCACCGAACAATGTGTCGTATTTAGTAGGAGTACACAAATGATTTAATACATAAGGAAAATAGAATGCAATCTCAGCCTGCTTATTGGGATCAAAGCAATTGGAAGAGACGCAGTCACATAGGTAACCCATCAAAGTGTTCTAATTCAAGGTAAAAAAGATCAAGAGTAAAAAAGGTCAAAATGGTTCCATGGACGTTTGTGAGGGGGTTGTCATCTACGCATATTACGTCCTTGACATCAAGAAATATATCATTGATATTCCTCATTTTTACATTGAACATTAAATAGCCAACCGACGATACCGGGCATTTTTTCGTAAAAATGTCCATTATTTTACTCCCAACAGAAGCATATGACCCAATAAGCAATTTTGAAAATGTGTGCCAAACCAACACGGGCAGCTATTTCGCGCAGAAACTCGTAAGATTGTAAGAAAAGCGAATTAATTTTGTAAAGACCCATGACTTGTAAAAGGGGGAATAAATAACCAAAATTGTGGAATAGCCCATTAAAATAGCGCACACGAATGATATTACGTACTTTCTAGTGATACGCAGAGATAAAAATATATTAACATATTTGAGTAACATTCTAAGTACTGCTGAACAAGGAGACTTAAAGGATATGCTTTCGCGCGGCCAGAGTGAAGCAGATGCGTTCCCACCTCCTGACCGGTGAGCGTCGCTGCAGGGCGGCGCGGGCCGGCACAGGCCGATGCGCTGAGACGCCCCTGAGCGCGCACGTTGACGGTCCACGGCGCACGCTTGGTGGGCGCCGCGGGGGTGTGCGTGGAGGGCGGCTGGAACGAGGGTGGCAGAGCCGCACGGAACGCCCGCAGCTCACGCAACAGCGCCAGAAGCCGCAGGTGTAAAGCGCAGCTCCAGGCCACCTACCGCCGGAGCAACACAAACACTTCGATTCTTCGCCCAAAAAGAATAGGACTTTCTTGGCCGAAAATCGAACTTCGGGCCAACAACTTTCCAGTTGAATAAACCTGCGACTATATACATTCACAATGGCCAACGCTCACAGGATGAAGAGTGACACGTGCTGACAAAACAGTTCTCAAAATCGAGCAAATGTAGTTGGAGTTAAATATGTGGGATTCGGAAAAGGCATTTAGAGTTTAGATATGATTAAAGTTTTATTGTGGTTCACGTCTGTTAAAAATCATGCATACAGACTTTTCAACACATCTGCGAAAATATTTCAACAAACCCTCCAAACGCAAATTGACCTCACTCCGAACGCCTCACTTCTTGTGAGTGTTATGCAACCCACACTACAGTACTGTATTGCGGTACAGAGCTAAGGTATTAGGTCAGTTTGAAAAGTTAAAATATAAAGGTCCGAGGCCCGAGGCCCCATCCCTCTGAAAATTTCAAAATGTTCTCTTACTCGTACAGAATAAAACGTTTAATTTCCGTAAATATGAAAAATTCCGTATTTTCTTCTTTTGTATGTGACAATATTAATATAATATTTGTATGTGAATAATTGATACAGGACATTTGGGGAAGAGGCTCCGCAAGCCATTTTGCAACCCTGTAAATGTTCAACACAAAATAACAATATTTATTAAAGATATCATTAAAATTATAATTGCATTCTTCTTGCAGCACGTTTTATTATTTTCCAGTAAAATACGTCTATGTACACAAAAATGTACCATGGGTAAGGTTTTTATACTTGTTTTTTCATTTATCGTAAGGAAAAACACAATACCAAAACACTGGAAAAGCATGCTTGCCCTCCTTTTTAATAGCATGCATGCCCTCCTTTTTAATAGAAGAAAAAGTGCACAACGCTCTCTAATTAGTTTATACGTTTACATGGCTTTCCTAGAAATGTGTTTTATAGCAAAAAGGAATCGCTTATCTCCATGTCGGTAGTCGGCAACAGTCATTTTTGACAACGTATTTATAAATGACTGTTCACATTTTACATGGGAATAAAGAAAGTACTAAAGGACCTGCGAACGAGCGGCTCACCTCGACGTCGTCGAGCAGCTGCAGCTGGAGCTGGCCGGGGCGCGAGGCGGAGGGCACGCGCGCGGTGAGGCGCAGGCGGCGCGCGTGCGCCACACCCCCGGCGGCGTCGGCGGCGCGCAGGCAGGCGAAGGCCGCGCGAGGGCCCCGCGCTGGCGCCAGCACCTTGGCGCCCTCGGCCGCCGCGCTCACGCGCCCGCCCGCGCGCTCCAGCGACGCCGTGTCCACGCGCACCGCCACGCACACCTGCGCACACACACGACACGCTCGCCTTCGCGTGCCTCCAGGCCCGTGTGGGGATGTGCACAGGTCATTCGTGAGTAGTAGGCCTGGGCTTGTTCAATACAAATAAAATATCAGTACACAAAAGCGTTTCTAGAACCCCTGAGCTATCCCTTCAAAAATACTTTAAATGTTAAAAATAGTTTCGTTATTGTTCATAAATAAACAATCATAACACTCGTGAAGAGGCTTCGCGAATAATCTTTATTTAGCGAGCAAAAATAAATTTTAGATTTCGAAATTTACTTTCTAAAGCATAGTATGATACACACATCGTTTGAAACTATTTGATTGATTATTTCTTGTTTCCCGAAGCGTCGACGGCTAATGCCATTAGCCCATTTTGTGAATGTTTTACGCCGGGAGGTGGCGACGTTCCTCCTTTGCTGAAGGGTAAGATCCGGCGCCGTTACGAGTATACTGGTCGGCTTAAGGGTTTTCGCCCTCCAGTTATCTCCCAACTGCGTGGCACCCCTGCAATCAGGATAAGCTCTGAGCTGCCGATATGTGTGGCAGTGTGGTGTTTTCAAGTGTTTGAGTAATGGGTGAGAATAGGAGAAGGAACAAAAAGAAATTATCGCGCGCGGTCAGTGTCCCGTTTGTTGGGTGTTGCTCGGACATTATACGAGGTCTTATTACATACACATAGATGAGGGTTATTCAAATTTCTATTTCTACAGATACCGTAATAGGACCATTTCATAAGTTGATTGACAAACAAGATTAGGTGATACTGCCTTAGCTACCTACGATAAGAATGCCGATATTCACGGCGTATATAGACCTTGGCGTCGGGGCCGGTGGCGTGGCCGTGGGCGCGAGCGTCGGCCAAGAAGAAGGCGTTGGCGTTTGCAAGCGACGCCGTCACGTGGCAGTCCGCGAGCAACGCGCCGAGCCCGTCCTTGCGATCTCGCTCGCGTACGTCCTGCACAGGCGAGGTCGGGGACGAAGCCGGGGAAGGGGGCGGCGGCAGCAAGGCGCGGTAGTCCTGGAGGCAGCGCAGCGCCAACAACGCCGCCGTTGCCAGTTCAGGGCTCAGCTCGACGCGCAACCCGTCCGCGGACGCCGACAGCCGCGCGCCCGCCGACGCCCCCTGCGCGTCAACGGCACAATCAAATTACTGGACGAACCCGGACGACAACAACTCGACATTCTCTTAATTATCACTGAAAGCCTAGCCAACTTGTAAAATTCATTACATGCCACAAAAAGGTACTATAAACATTTTAATTGGAGAATGTAAATACTTAGTTAAATATATTAAACATATAATATAATAATACTTAATAAAAATATATTTATTTGTTTTAGCCCAACTTTCTTTTATTCAGATTTAAAGGTTTTCATTCTCACCTCCAAATGCTGAGAAAAAATGATTGTACAAACCCCTTTTAGCAACGAAATTTACAGAAAAACTTTAAATAATAGGTCACAGGGACAAACATTAAAACCTATTTTTGAACTAACACACGCGTTTTTCATAATTCGTTAACGAGCAGCCTCTTCGATTAAGAAATTAGAGAATAAGGAAGAAATCAAGTTCTGAAAAAATACATTACTCCAGTACGCACATTCAGGTAAAATTAAAATTATCTTAAACTAATTGGAAACTAAATATTTTGAACAAACCTTAAGTACAAACCAATGCAATTTTAATGATCACGAAGAATGTCTAGGCGTGTGAACTACCTGATGTTTTAGAGGATATTTTATCTACGCAACCCCCACCTGCGGGTCCTCTTCCCTGCGCAGGCGCGCCAGCAGAGAGCCAAGCGTGAGCGGCGCGCCCCACGTGTGGAAGCGACCGCGCCCAGGGCCCGGCCCGTCCGCCGCGTCCGCCGCCAGCGCCGCTTCGTCCAGCGCGCAGCCCAGCTGCTCCAGCAGCAGCTCGGCCGCCCAGCGCGCGCCTGCCGCCTGCTCCAGCGCCAGCTTGGCCCGCGCGCACCGCAGCGACGCGCAGCGCGGCGGACCGCACCCGCCCGCCACGCCGCCGCCGTCCCCGTCGCCCTCGGTAGACCCCGTCGACGACGACGCCCCGGACGGCAGCCGCGCCAGCGCGGCCACCGACGACGCCTCCACGCACCCGCGTACCTGCCAATGCGTCCCTCTCAGCACGTGCTTCTTAGCGACGAGGACTATTAACACTAGGGATGTTATTGACATACTCTTTTATAGAATAAATCCAACTACAAGTATCTAGTACATCTATCTATATAATAAATTTTGCTTTAATCCGATTGACATGTAATATCTCTTCATGGCCATGAGCTGGAAGGAGAGGGGGGCACAATCATCCAGTCAATACCAAAACTTGAATTCGTAACAAAGCTTTCAATTGGATGACTATGTCTCCCTATCATTCCAGATTGTGTCCCTGAAGAGACAGTTATTTAAATCGTACAATGAACACCAAATGGCTGTCACTGCTTGACGCAACCCGCCTGACGGCTATGCATTATACGCTCCGTGTTGCAGCGACCGCTTGTAGTCGTGATGCAAAAAACATAGCTTTAATTTGGAAATCAAGGAGAAGGGGAGGAGAAGTAACAAAATGAGTAAAATAGTCAAAAGACCTACATAGGAACAATAAGAAAGTAAAAGAAGATAAGTAAAAGAAGCCGTGAACAAGAAGAGAGAGAGAATATAAGAAGATAGGGAAGAAGAAAAACATGGAAGGTTAACTTAATACTGTGTGCTCTATTTTCCCATAACGAATAATTCATTCTGTATATTCGTATATCTCGCTTATGGAGGTCTACATGGAAGCATGACCTGCAAGCGCTCACCTGCAGGGGGCCGAGGAGGCGGCCCAGGAGCCCGGGCCCTCGCGAGCGGGAGGACCGGGGCCGGGTCGCGCGAATGGCGAGGGGGGGCGCGGGGCCGGGCGGCGCGCCCGAAGGCCGGCGCTCCGCCAACCACCCGCGCAGGGCCGCGTGGTCGTACACGGCCGACAGCGCCTCCAACGCCACGAACACGTTCAGCACACCCTCCTCCAGCTGCGCGCGACATGCGCAATTAAGCGCTGACCTTGCGTTTGTTTGATCATTTACGACAACGCTCATTTTCTGTCCTCTTCCCCGATCACTCATTGTCTTATGAGCCATCCCGTTGGTTGAAAAATACCCAAATGTAATAATAATTGCATTAAACTGGCGATTTCCCAAAATTTGAAAACAAATGTAAGGAAGTAATGTGCATACAAAACGTTACAGATTTACTATAGTCATCAAAATAAGTAGAATAAAACGTTCCTGGAATAACAAAAATTCCTACACGAACAAAGAAATTGACTAACAGGCTAGTGAAACATAAAAATCCCTGAAAATGACACCCCTCATGCGATACTCTTTGATTTCACACCACATTCGTCGTCGTTCTGAGGGGAAAGATCATTGAGAGATGCGCGGCTGCACATGAGCGGCTGCACATGCGTGCCACAGAGTTTCTTTTTATTTAACCTGTTTATTTTGTGCACTATACGTTCAAGATAGATTTTGTTACAAGTAATGTACCTTGCTACTGAGCGAGAGCTTGCTGAGCTGCAGGGCGGCTGGATCGCGGCCGCAACGCACGCTCAGCCCCTCGAGCTGCGCGCTAGCGAACAACTGCGGCGGCGGCGGCGCGGCGTGCAGTCCGACGGGCGAGACGGGCGAGGCGGACGGCAGGGGCGGCGGCGGCGGGGGCGGAGGCGGCGGGGGCGAGGGCGCGGACGTGTGCCCCTGCGCCGGCCCCGGCGACAAGCCCAGCCCCAGGCCCAATCCCAGGGCCCCCACGGGCGCCGCCGGCTGGCACTGCGAGCTGAGCTGCAGGCGGCGCAGCGTGGCCACCAGTTCAGGGCGGCCGGCGCCACGCGCGCCCGTCAGCGCCGTCTCCTGCACCCGCACCTGCAGGCTCTACACACGCGCACACATGCGCTGCAGTAACTGCCATCCCATACATTCCATTGATGATTAGATGACCATTTAGACGTACACATGACTATCTAAAAATATTTATTTTCTTCAGTGTTTTCTGAACGTTCAAGGAATACCCGAACACCCATTTCCGAAAAATAAGTGTCAAGATAAAAGCAATAAGTTCAGATTCTAACCCTAGACGATTAAATACAACTGGCACTCCGACCAATATTCAAGAAAGGCCGCACCTTGGGCAGGATGGGCTCGAGGCGCCGCAGGGCCTCCTCGAAGGCGGCGGCGGCCTGCGCCTCCGTCTGCTGCTCCTGTTCCGGCTCTTCCTCCTCGTCGTCGTCGTCGAGATCCTCCTTGTCGCCGTGCTTGGCGTGGGCGGCGCCAGCCAGGAAGGCGCACAGGCCCTCGTGCACCACGGCGCGTGTGTGCTCCATGGCGACGTAGAGGCGCTCCACCGAGAGCGGGCCGCGCGCTGACAGCGTCGCCTCCAGCGCCAGACCCAGTGCCACCTCGCCCAGGCACGCACCTGCGCCCGCCGCCTCCGCCTCGGCGTCCGCGCTCGCGCCCGCGCCGGCGTCGACGCCGCCACACTCGTCGCTGGGCTGCGGGCGCAAAATCACATGCTTCAAAATCATTCATTGAACGTAAATTACAAGAGCTTGCAAGACTTGAAACATCTGAAAATATAATTTGCTGCATTTATTTCAGATAATCATTTAATTTAAATGTTTTGTAGATAGTAATACAATCTAAAAGGGGTTACGGGTTGTTGGATTTGAATAGAAATTAAACATTGTTTCCAGAGTACATTAATCCTTACCTGTCTGAATTTTTGTTTATATTTTCATTACAGCATTATACAATTTAAAAAGAAAAAATTGTTTAAGTAACTTTCTTTTCAAAATTTTAAAATGCACATGCGGTACCTTTTAATATGTTAAGGAAAGTTGAGTTCTAATTGCAGTACTGCAATATTTTGAAGGTGAAAATTAGAACTATCTTAAGACTCGTACAGTGCGGGCATGTCAGTCCATAAGGGCATGGAGCAAAGAACCACCAAAGATATGATTGCACACACCCCGCATGTCATAAAGCACGAGATCTAGTATTCAAGACTACCTGCTTCCATCGCTGGGTACAATTTTTAAACAGAGCAGATGTGCTTATCTTCACAACAGCTCAGATAATATATATTATACTACAACATGGTATTGTGGAGTGCTACAGCAATTGAGCATAAATGCAAGAAGAAATAAACCTTTAGATCGATGTTAGAATTCATGAAATCAGGAAGCAAAACGTGTTTTTTAACATAGAAAAATATTTCTCAGAAAAAAGTCTATGAAATTGAAGCGGGAATACGTTTTAAGAAATCAAGGATAGATCTATGGGTGAATGGAGACTACAAAGAGAATCCTAAGAATGTTAAGACATTGAGCACGCTTCGCACAGGCCAGACAAGGATAAGATAGACAGCCTCACCTGCGCGGCGCGATCCCCCTGTCCTCGGCCGGAGGCGGCGGCGTTGCGTGCGCGGGCACGAGCGCGCGGGGCGGGCGCGGCGGCGGGCTTCGGGGTGTGGCCGGGCGCGGGGGCCGGGCGGG